AAATACAATTATCGACGGTGCATCCTCCACGAGGTTACGATGCACATACCGGGCGATAATATTTAGACGAGAATTGTGAGTACAACTGAATCATCTTGATATAATGGAGGTTTTATCTGGCTCACTTTTAATCTTTAGAATATGAAAAATCCGCTACTAATAGAGCACTAAACAAGAGCCAGAAGTGTAAGCAGTCCATTGCAAAAGCTGAAAGTATAAACACCTTTGCAGTTCTTTTTGGGGGCAACTAACATGCCGTTTATTCAAGTACCGTTACTAGCACTTATCCCTATCTGCTTGTGTTTTAGACGGTTCTGCAACAAGGCTTCGACGAAAAATAAGTTACTATCTATCTAAGTGATATATCGAATGAAGAGAGTCGTTTTAGAATGCGCAATGCTCGTCCTGTTTGTCCTTTTGATTGTACAGGACCGTTCGACTTTAACTTTGCGCGACTTGGAATCCGCCGCCGTTCTTGCTTCTTAAGCGCAAGAGATCTGAAAAAGCGACCGTTGTAGCCACTTTTTGCGCAGTCTCGTCGTAACGATTCTTTTGTATGGTACCTATTCAATTTGGTCAACCCAACAGAATGGAGTACGTCATTTAGATCGTAGATACCTCTTCTGTAAACGAAGCAAATATTTTTATTTATTTCGGTGTATAGTACCATATTATCGTGTGGCAATGCCTCAAGGTCTGTGGCAGGCTTAATCTGTCCATACGATTGAGTTCCCGAAAGAGAAAGGAGGATTTTTTATTATCGTATGCAAACCTTATTGCTCGTTACTTCATGTATCTGTTAGGTAATTTACCCTTTACCTCATCAGAAACAGACACGGAACGTCAAAAAAAAAAGGAACTTTACAACGATGTAGTTGCCGATGTCAGCCATCCCTCAACGTGGGAAAATGGGCACGCCGACTCCGACAAACATCAGACCACATGCTCACTATTGAATCTATTGTCGCAACACAATTTAGTAAAGCATAGCTGTATGTCAATGAGAATAGCGCCCGGCATGTATGACAAATCAGGCGTAATAGAGATAACACGAATGCGGATTTTCCAGGATCACTAATGTCATACTAGTATTATACATTTATTTGAAATACATGATCGAGATAGTAGCAACAGAAAGGGCGTGTTCCTCGTATTTATCATTTAGATAAAAATAAAAAGGAAGCACTAAATCATAAAGAATTATCTCGTAGTCTACGCAGCAGCTACTAGTTTATTTACACATAAATCAACGAATAAATGTTACAAAGAGTCAATTGATTGTGAAATAGGGACCTTCTTCCAACACGCCGAGGACATGAAATCGAATTCAGCTCAGAAGAAGTTCAGGAAAAACCGAGACAGACAATGCAGTTCCCAATTTTCTGGCATACACGTGCCTGTCATGTTTTTGAATCATTATACCTCAACACGTCATACAGACCGCACAAATTGCGAGAAAATTTACGAGAACATCTTAATCCCTTTGTCCTGTAATCTAGGAAAAAAAAATAGTAAAATCTTGGAAACTAACCGAACCCAACGTGAACAGTCGCAACAACAACAAAGAGAGCAGCAACAAGAAAATGGCCGATACGGTCCGCGGTCCATCCAGAAATAACAAAACGTGAACAAGGTTAACGTAACACAGAAGAAGCGGCGCGCTGTCCGATTCCGAGACACCGAGTGGCACTGTACGGAATGAATATGTTAGTGGGTTACATTTTTTTTATTTTCCTTAATTATTATTATTAATTCCTTAATATTATCAGAACCCCTTAAATACTAATTACGTGTACGAAGACATGTTAGACATTCATGCTTATTTTTTAATTTTTTGTTTATTATTTTTTGTATGTGATTCCAAAAAGGGTTGCCTGAGGAAGGAAATGCAGTGTATTCTACTCATGTTTCTATCGACTTTGAAACCTAGTTCCTACGAAGATCGTCACGGGTTATCGAAGGGACGGAATAGACCAGGCATTGATATAGATAGTTCGATTTTGCTAAAATTTTGTGTTGATGACTAAAATTTTTCTGGCTGACCTTCCGCTTTGAGTAACTTCCGACTCTGGAGTCGCGTGGACTATGCCACGGAAGCCATGAGGTGCGCGCGCTCGGCTTCATAGCCGTGCGACGTCAGTGTGTCTCTCCGTTAACATTGATCCTCGCCGTCTCCATTTATCCGCTCATTCGTGTGAAATACGTATTTTGTGGATATCCAAATTCGAACCAACAATTTATGAAAACCTAGCTTATCTTGCCAGCCGTCGCTACCGTTTCAGCTATAACCCGAAAGGTCTCGATAACATTGATGGCAAGACAGCACAAAAGCTACAACAAATGCCGCCTTATTGCTCGAATAGAATCGTTTGGCTACTGTTCAGTACGTCCCTAGATCACCGTTGTGGCCTACCGAGGGCGGGCTATAATGCTATAATTCCATGCAACACCAAAATATTGCATTCCAACAACGTGTTATTTCTTATGGCAAACGGAACCATGCAGCGGCATACTTGCGGTTAACGTCGATCTAACAAACTATAAAAAGATTCTGACCTCGATGGACGAAGAACGTAGTGAGCCATCCTTTTTGGTGCCTTTTTGCTTTCGGGAAGTGAGCAATTTTATCAACGCACTATAAAGAGTTTGCAACTCAAATTTTTGAGCTTAGAATGATCTTAGGTGTTCAAAGGCAGAAAAACCAAGATATCCTTTTTACTGTTAAGTATTTTCCGTACACTTTCATAAATGTGTAAGAAGGTCTTCGATTTACTATTGGATGTTTTTAGCGGCCAACTATATATCTGAGGCATCTGTGATCAAAGCAAATGGTTTTCTGAAATCCGGAAACATGAGAAATGAAGTGATCATGATCTTATCCTTTCGTTCCTTGCTACTCCATATTCCACATGAAGCTTTTTCTGCGTTAAATCAAGGCAACAAACTATATATAATCCTGAGAGTTGTCATATTTACTGGCGCGCTCGAATTCCTCAGTGATTGCGAACACTTTCCGTAGACTTCGTCTTGTCATCAATACGTACACTCACGCACATACTGTGCATAGGATCGATCCTGTAAGGCTGAAATAAATCAGGCTTTTCTTCAAATTAAGCTGACGCGCGTCTACTCTTGACTATCGCTTTATTCGGCGCTTTGCGGCTGACCTCGAGAACGCTAAAACGTCATCAATGCATTAGTTTTTGCAACAAAATCGTATTCAATATTGTATCATTCATTAGTGGATGTTGGTAAAAACTCTTAAAGACATCAAATGTAGGGAAAAAAAACAGCGCATCCGTCGATTTGTAATTGTTTGGTTATTCGCAATTTTTTAGGTTCGAGCCCGAATACCGATTTAAATTTTCGAATTGATTTTCTGCATCCCAACCTAATACCTCCTCCTTTCTTCCTTGTTTCTGTGACGGTGCAATGGCAACGTTATTATATACTAAACTGAAAGACCTTGCGTTGAAAGTCAGTCATGCTTAATTGCATATATTGTATTTTTTTCCCCTTTTCCTACCACGACAGCGCAAGGGTGCAGTAGATTGATTTAGACAGCTGCTGTCTACCATACTGAATACTGATTGACAATTTGTTTTCATATTATAATAAGCCACACTCAGAGGACAAAATAAAGTGGCTTGTTTGACCGTGGCGACGGAACGGCAACTAACATGAAATGCACCCAGATAAAAATGAGCCTTCCCGGCGCCTTGTTATATACTTCCACAATTTTATATGGTAGGTTTTCCTTCCGGCAAGCAGTCGAAACATCCTAAGGCGCAATAGCTTCGTGATCTTTCAGTTTTTTTTGTTGATAATCATGTACCATAATATTCAAGTGAAGGGCAATTTGAGGAGTAGCCTTAATGTATCATTTCATTATGAAGGTCTTCGCATTCGACTTCAAACACGCGACTTTTCTCCGTCATTTCAATATTTATATATATATATATATATACTCCGTATTTTCGGTGTCATTTTAATATTGGCCCATAAAGAGCCATAGCTTCCGCTAAGCAAGCATTGCCATTATACACTGTCTATGAGCTTTTCGATGTAGCATGGTAGTAATTGCACATGGTTTAGGACTGAGTTTTACCGGAGGTACCGAGCTGTGACTAACGCTTGTGTAGATAGTCTAACGTTATTATTACTGTAGAGGGATGTCAGTAATCAAAACTGAAGCCGACAAGATATATCGCTAATTATACATTTCTATCAAATTGCGCACTATATTTGGTCTTCGATATTTACCTATATATATA